GGATGGAATCCGCATGTGGATATCTTCCATCACCCTATGATTTTCTATCATTTAAACAAAAATAATAATTTTTACCTTAAGTAATGAAGTAGTTACTGACCTCTGTTAGAGTATAATTACTGCTATATTGAGTGTGTATGCAGAGCAGCCTACGAACTCCGAGGAGTGTTGAAGCTGACTTCAGCGGATGAAACTGCAAACTATTTTCTTCAGTAAATTTTCTTCAATTGACTGCATCTCTGACTCCAGGTCTTCATTCATCCTATCTGGTCCTTGGGTCGTAACTGTAAATCCCCTTACAACCTTCTAGCTCATGACTTTTCTATGATAATGTATCCATTTAGCATATACTAATAAATACCTCACTGAGCAATAAACCTCTGAAAATGCTTGAACACAGAACGTGTGTCTTTGCTCATTTCTTATCATGGCTATGTATTTCTGAGCGAGGGGCAACTGAGAGCACCAGGGCAAAAATGCTGAACCTTTCTGGATTATGTGACAAATAATGTCTGCTTGCTTTTGGTAAAACTACTTTTCCATCATTACCTTCAGAAAGTATGAAAACAATAGGAAAACAAAGCCAAATTTTATGAAACAAAGCTAAAGCCAGACATTTTAGGCAATATAAATGCTTTGCATCCAGTGACGGAAATTGATGGAGTGTGAAATGTCTTCTTTAAATTTTTTTTTAATAAAAACAGAAATTGTGAGAAAACTCAAAAGAAAATGAATCCCACCTTCATTTAGACCCACCTTCACCCTAAAGTTTCTGGAACTCCTTTCTAAAAAGTTCTATTTAAATATAATATACTAAAATGTTACATTTACTATAGTTCATATTTTATATAATATAATTAGTAGTTACTAGAAATAGGGCAGGAAGAGAATGCAACTACCACAGTTTACAATGGCAGAATATTACACTGGAAACTCACATACCACTGAGATCTTAGCAGAAATAAGATGTACGCTGTGGATAGAGTTCATTCCTATTTTATATGTCATGCTTATGTTGAAATCTGAAAATTTGAAATGTACTTTGCATATTTAGGAAGGTCAAAAGTACATCCAACATCATCCACAGAAGGAAGCAAAACAAATGTATGCTATAACTAGATCTGTTCTTATGATTAAGAAGTCTGCCTAGTCTGTGCAATCATGTCATTTTTAATTATAAATGTGTGTGCGATTTTTGTTTACTGTGATTCCATGATTCCCAGAAGTTTCTCCAGTAAAGTATGTTTTAACCAAGCACCTTTAGTCAGATAACATAGTGAACATTTTTAATCCCAGTCCGCTACATTTTTTTTCAGCACTATGATCACACAGATGCTCACCTCTCCTGTCTCTGTAGGTAATGTCTGATGAACTGAGGGAGCTCAGTCTGTAAATTAAAGGTTTTAGGGAGCCACGGAGCCCCCTGACCTCCCCTGGCTCTCCGTGCCACAGATGCCAGGCAGTCTTTAGTGGTCAGCACCGTCTCACAGGGGAACTGGTTGAGTAGGACATGAGGCCGTTCCTCACTCAGTTTTCTAACAGTAAATGAATGAACAAAATCACTTAAATAAAACAAGAATAATACAACTGAAGTGTACATAAGCATAAACATGCTCACCGATAATCTCGGATATGGGAGAAGGCCCAGATTATGTCAGCTTCTTCCTCGTTTTCGGTGAACTGGAAACGTGGATGCTTCAGATGGTCTAAAACCTGCTTCATCTCAGTGTAGACCCTGATTTGTTTACACAGGAAATGGCAACCAAGTGAATACACAAACCGATTAAGAAATGCTTAATGCACTTTCCACCTGTTTCAATCACCCACTATGGAAGAAATATAAGTTGGAATGATTTGAAAAGTAATGTGGTGGCTTCTGTGAGAAATCACTCTCAAAAAAGGCTTGAGGTTTGATACCAGAAGACAGACTTTATTATCAGAGATAATGAAGCCGAGAGACTCCGCAGAGAATTTGACCAGTCTGTCTTTGCAATACTCTTTTTATATAGGTTTCCATAAACAATACATATCATTCAGGCCACTATTGCTTATTACCATTTGACCCCAGTCTATATCGTCTCACGACAGCGTAACACAAAGAGGTCTTGGTTCATCACGTCAGCACAAGATCACCACATGTTTCTCTTAATGGCAGCTCATCATATTTGAGCACACAGTTGAATACATGACTATAATAGTAGAGTAATAGCACATACATACAAACATAGCATACAGTAAGAGCACACTACAATACATAGTCAAAATTTACATTTTTTTTTCAACATAACATTACAATGATTTCCATTTCAAATAAATGTGGTTCTGTTGAACTTTCTATTCATCAGAGTGTTTACATGTTCTCTAAATAATGTGTGTAACCATTTAAATCCATGTACTATTCTAGCTGATATATATACACTTTGACAAGAATATGCATGAGCATAAGCATTTTGCATCTGCTCTATAGCCTCTAAAATGTGCAGGACAGCTGGCTCTACCCCAGATATTCTAGGCTCCAAATATTACATAAGCAGCAAGTATCCTTGAGTTAAACCATAAGTTGCATGAACCAGAGTGTGATAGAGAAAGCAACCACAGAGTAAATGGTACACACCACATAAGAGTGTGTGTTGAGCAGTAAAGAGAATGTTGTGGTTGACTGAAGATAAAGTGATTATTTCATGCATACATCTAAATTCTGTGCTTTAAATTTTTGGTGCCATCCAGTATATTTGCTTATCCATAAGTGCTAAATCTCTGTTTCATCTAAATACTTGACAGCTTTGAAGATTTTTTTTAAACCTCACCAGCCTTGGAGAAGGAGGAATGTTTATATCTAGATGGAGAACACAAACTGCTGACTTTATGACCCAAGATTTATAGATATTCATTAGGGGCTGTAAATTACTGCAGGCACAGACATGTTCCAGACCCTCAATTACGTCTCTAAACACACACACATACTCTTACTAACCCTAAAAGAAAAGATTTAGCATTTTGGAAGTTTGGAAAGAAAAAGAAAAATGTTTTTGAATGTTTTCATCCCTGAATATCTCCAGGGATGTTTTGACCGATTTAGCTCACTTTTAGGGGCAATTTCATCCTCAACACACACAGATTGTTTTTTTTTTGTTGCCATTTTCAAACTTTTATACAGAAAACATTGATTTATCGAAATGAAATCAAACTAACTATATTATACAAACCACAACTTGAAATATGAATGATTAATGATTAAAATGTGAATAAAAAAGGTTAGACACTTGGACTTTTGACGTGGAAACAAGAATCTTTTTTTTTTTAAAGGTTGACTTTAAGAATAAAACAAACTTTAAAGTTGCAAAGAACACAATAAAACAATAATTGACATTTAACACAATGACTTACTTCAGCACTTTTCCATCTGGTACACAGGAAAGCTGGATGTCTATAGGAAGCTTCTCTTTGTTCTCCTGCAGAATTGTCTGGAAAAGTGCAGTGATGTAGAGTGAAAATGGCACTTAATGATTTTACTGAATCAAAATGCCGTCCACAAAAAGCACCCAGGCAGTTTAATACATGCCAACAGCCAATAAGATTCCACACTGACAAACATTTCCAAAGCAAACAATATTTTAATGATAATTAAATTCACTCACTTCATAGTAAAGGTCAGACGGTTCTTGGACGTCATCACTCACATCCTCAAGGTTATCAGGCAGCCATGCTAACAAACGGCATCTCCTCACCAAAGAGTCAGTCTCTCCATATGCAAAATCACGCGTCACTTCATCTGATAAATGTTAAAACTCTCATTAAATCAAAGACATCAATTCGAATAAAACCACTTTATACTGACATTCATTAACAAATATTACTACTATATATAATGCTTAAAGAATCATTAGTCAATGTACCTTCAAACAGAAATGTGACAACTTTGACATTTTCATATGCATGATGAGCATTACATAATACTTGTTAACCCGATAAAGCCTACTGTAACATATTTGACATTGTAAAATATTTTCATTAATCTTGAATTAATATAATACATAGAATTATGCCTATTTGTAATAAGAAATTATTCTACTATTATCTACTATTATTAGTCTATATTATTAGTCTGACTGTGTGAAGCAACTGTGTGTTAAGGATTGCAGTGAGCTGTAAACTGAGTGAACTATTTTAAAGCTTGAAAAACCCATATATGGAGAAGACCTTGTTCAGGAGCTAGAAATATATGCATGACAAGCTATTGATTACCTTCAAGGACACATATATGGTAAAATACATTTTGTCCAAAAATACAACGGAGCCTATGTGGAGTATTGTGAAACGGCTTCAGGCATATATATATATATATATATATATATATATATATATAT